AAAGGCAGCACCACACGGACTCCTTGCTGATACCAGGACAGCCTGTCATTAGTCCAGCCTGCTGGCATCACAAATACCATTATCTGGCTAAACCAATCATCACTTTATCACTAGAAAATGTGCTGTTTATTTTATAAGAGCATGGTAGGCCCTTGAAATAATTCAATTGCTTCAACTGATCTTACAGCACGCACTCCACTGGCCTGCAGGGCCACTTTCCATGGCTTCTGCTCTTCAAAGGGCAAGCTGCCAAGAAAAAGGGTTTGCAGGAGAGCCTGAACGAAGCTTGGGGAGAGAACAGAGTCCATCCACCAGCCCGAGGACAAAGAGATGCTGCCTGGGATCTGAATTTTCTGGCACCTAAGCAAATGCAATGGATGATTGCCCCTTTGCTAGGCTGCCTAAGAGAACCAAGGGGACAATTTGTATCTGATTGTTTGTGGCGGCAGATTCAGGCTTGGGTATTAATTGAGAGGACCAAAATGTGGGCAGGGAGTTTGGGAGTTTCCCTCGGTGCCCAAATTCTGCAAAACACACTGCTCATCACATCAACAGGCTGATCCCTCTGGATTCACTGCACTTCTGAGCACAGAAAAAAAACCTCCTTGTCCTCCTCAGCAGGTCCAGCCCCACAGGGTGGGGAGACCTGGTGAATCACCCACCTCCCGAGCAGAGCTGGAGCTCCCAGAGATGTGCAGCACCATGTGATTCCTCTTTAATTACACAGGGACTTAATAGAGTTTGCTGGTAAACACCTTGTAACCACATGTGCCTGGAGATTACTGGGTAATTATGCTTAGTGGATCACGATGTAACAGGGAGCATGATTTAGGAAAGACAGAAATAACCAGGCAAACATGCTGCATTCGTCAGTAGCTGTCATGCAGCCTTCCTGCCCCAATGCTTAGCTGTCCAGCCTTTCCTCTTGTCTCCTTCCCTGGCTTTCTGAGAGTAGGGGAGCCCCTCGGCAGGAATTTGAGAGGTGCCAGGGATTGGGATGGTCTGGGGAAACTTTCCACTTGGCATTCCAAATCCCCTGCAAGAGCTCTCCATGCTCTGACAGGCTGTCAGCTGCTCAGAGGAAGAAGGATGGAGGATAAACAGTATTGGCTCACCCCACCCTGACTTAGTTTGCCACAGAGACAGATTCTGGCCTTCCTTTCCAAGGGTGCATGCTGGACACAAAAAGGAATCTGGAAGATCTCTGGTTTGTGAGCCAGTCCCAATCACCTACTGCCACACTGATCTAGATCCTGCCAAACCTGGTTCGACCCAGAAGCTCTCCAGGGTTTCATGTCCCCAGGAGTTGTGATGCCGTTGCTCAGACCAGTGTGGCCCAGAACAACAAGGGGCACCTTGCTCCTGACAAGATCAGTGCCAAGACTTTCAGCAGCCCCTCTCCCACCCCAACAGAGTTGGAGCAAAAAAAAGAGATGATGTGTAAATCCCATGGGGCCCACCGGGATGAGCCCTTCTCACAGACACCAGTCACTTCGTGGACCTGCAGCACCCAAAACTGATGGCTCCCTCCAAAACAGCAAAAGGGATTATTCACACTCACTTCAGAGAGTCTTAAATCCTCTGGGCAATGACAGCTTCAACCCTTTGCCTTTTAATGAGCACAAACACAGCATCAGTCCTGTTAAACTCTCTGCACAGATTCCAAGGGAGGTGTTGAATGCAGACATAGGAGATTTTAGGGGGTGATTTTAAGGGATGTTCTCTTGGGCAAGGGTTTGTACTACGAGCTCCAGCTTCACTGGAAATGCCAAGCAGCACTGATAGGACTGTTTACTAACATATGAATTAATTTGCAACCAATTAGTAGTGCTAACCAGAGTGAGAGGCAGTGGCAGCATAGCTAATGTACATACCAGCACTGTGCCCTCCAAATGCTCACTGCACACCCAGCCAGCACCCCCTTGCACCCTCAGGGCCATCTGATCTGCTCTGCAGCCTCAGGATATGAGTTTATGCCTGAGATCAAGGGCTTTTTCCTCTTCATCTTAAAAGCAAGATTTCTATATGGCTTAGCCTTCATTGTGGGAGAGATGATGACATGGGGCCTCCAACCCTGGGCCCCATACCAAGGTGAAAAGCAAACCTCTGTCCACTCAGCAAGTGTGCTGTGCATGGAGCATCTCCAGAGATATATCTGTAGCCCAGCAAATCCTGCCCAGGGCTCCTGGAGGCTTCACAGATAGCTTTGCTCAAGAGCATGGCTTGAGGCCAGCCATGGCCCACAGCCACAGGTTTCCTGCCTCACATCAACCTCAGACAGGAGAGAAGTGTTAGCAAAATGCACCAAGCAAAATGGAAAGGAGTGGTGGGAATTCACAGATCAGATGGTGGTATTTTATCCTCAGCTGCAGCATCTCATCAATTTGCCAGCCCCAAAATTTTAGTGCTGCAGCCACAGGTACATCTGTACATCATCAGGCCTTGCACAGTCTGGCTTCATCATCTATCCTCCTCCTCTTCCAGTGCCTCCCTCTCTCCTCCCATCTGCACAGGCAGGGTCCTGTGCACCAGAGGGAGACCAGACTGGGGAGGCTGGAGTATCCCTGAGCCTGCTGGTGGATCCCACCACATCTGAGCCCTCAGTCACCACAGGGGATGGGGGGAAAAACATAAAAAGTCAAAGAACAGAGCAGCAGAGCTGGCAATGCCTGGGAGGGCTGGCAAGCCTCTGACAACAAGTGGCACCAAGCTTTGGACACTTTTTGTACCAAAGGGGTACAAAAGGCATGGCAGGTCACAGCCAGGAAGCATCAGTGGAGTGGAACAGAGATGGCACAGAGAACACTGACACAAGGATCCTGGGCTTTGTTTTTTTTACTCATGGAGAGACAGATTTGAGGGATGCAGGCTGGGAAGGGATGTGCAGAGCTCGGCGAGGCAGCATCAAGAAGGGAGAGACAGCTTTTAGCAATGTTCACACCAGCCACAGAACATGCTGACGGAAGAGGTGGCCCCACACCCCTGCTCACAGAACCAGCTGGGAGAAGATCGTGCCATTGCTAAGAAGAGATGAGCCAGCATTTGGGTATGGCAAGCCCTGCTTTGAGAACCTCAGCTACTGGGAAAATGCCTGGAAGCCTAACAGGGCAATGCCCACTGCCTTGCAGGGTTTGCACACCCCTTCTACCTAGTGTGGCCCCAAAGGGACAAGGAATAATCCATAAATAACCAGCCCACAGCACAGTAAGTGATCAGATGCCACAGAGTTGCCAAACCTTTACTAAAATACATGGCTACTTAGAACGAAGTAATGGCAATATTTAAGTAAAGACTGCAAAGCCATCTAAAGGGCTGGGCAACAGCCATGGGAGCAGCCTGCTGCTGGTAAATCCAGAAGCTGAGGCACAGCTGAGTGAGGTGCCCAAGGCCACAGAGCAAGGCAGCAGCAGAAGGAGGAGCAGCTCCCAAGGGACTCCCAGCCCTGTGCTCACTGCCTGCCCAGTGGCCTCCTCCCGTGAGTCACGTCAGAGCAACGGGCAGGCAGCACGTTTAGTTCCCTGGCATCTTGCTGTGTGGGGGAGGACCCAGCTGAAGGAGTTTTGCAGCACAATCAGATAGTTATAACACACCAGTGCCATAAACAGCCCTTATCTCCATCAGCAGCTAAGCCAGCTATTAAGAGCTGGAAAGGAATCCCAAAAGGAACCAACACGCATTTGTCAAAATTGGCTTAGAGGAAGCTTAACAGTCCCACCTGACCACAGTGGTCACGACACTGACACCACAGCCCTCTCAGCACCGGACCGGAGCTCATCACCCAGAGGAGCAGAGGGAGGACCCTTTGTTATCAGGCATCCTGCAGGCTCAGAAAGAATCAGTCCCTATTGTTTCCTACCTGGGCAGCGCCAGCCCTGGTCCCCCGGGAAGGGGGCTTGCTCCTGTCCCAGGTGTGGCTTGTGCAAAGGGCACCTGGAAAGTTTTCTTGCCTCTGACACAGCCCAACAGAGCTGGAATCACCTGTTCTGTTGCCTTGCAGCGTGCCAAGGCATTTTTCACGGTGTTTTGCTTGGGAACCACCCCAAGCCCTCGGATTGAGAAACCTCAACACGCCAGTGCAATAGAGAAGTTGCTGCTCTGCTGCTTTCTGCCTGGGGGAGTGCTCTTCTCTTCACACAGCCTCCAGGACCCACAGGAGAAGGGAGGGGGGCTTCCCTGGACAAGTTATCCCAGGATGAAGCCCCTCAGGTGGCCATCAACATCAACTGCTTTGCCTGGAGGCTCACTGCTTCTAAAGGAAGGGATCAAAGCTGTGCCAGCGAGGTGGGTACAGCTGTCACACATCACATCAGTGAGGAAAGAGAAATTGACTGTGACTTAATCAAACCTGATCAATCCTTCCAGACTTTGCAACAAGGACACAAAACCAGAAGTGACCAGACTAGTACCAGGTGCCAGGTCTCATCTTATGCAGCACATTTCCAAGCTCTGCTTCTTTAGAAATTCATACATAGCGCATGAGTGCCTCTGTCCCTGTCTCACACGCACAATAGAAACACCCACATCCCCAGCTGCAGAAGGTTCATGTTTTTCAGTATTGCACCTGTGCTTTGCTCAGGTCCCTGGTTTCTGGGTCCCTCCTTACCCTGCTCCTCCTCCCCATCGGCTCCTTCCCGCATGTCCGTTTGTCCACAGGCACTGGCAGCAGCAAGTGAGCCTGCTGCCTGTCAGAGCGCTCCTGGCTCCCTCTCACCATGTTGCGTATCGACATTTTAGTCGATGATCTGCCCTCCAAACCCCAGAAATACAAGCCAAGAAAAGTACTCAGTGGAGATAAGCACCACGGCTCAGCCCACATGAAAGACAGGCCAGGAAAGCCAGACCCTGTCAGAAAGCAAAACGCAGGCAGGAAAATAAACCAAAATTCCATCCCACTAGGCTTGTCAACGCTGTTATGACATTTTCTTTCCAATTCCTCCCAGCCAGATCGGCGCGGTATCAGCCCCATTCCCACAGCGAAGGCAAGAGGAAGCCGTACTCACTGCTAGTGCTCATCCTGCCGGTCCTCCCCTGTCCTTCTCATCCAACAAAGGGGCAAAGATGCTCTTTAAATCCGCTTTTCTTGACGGCCCCCGACCGCGGGAGGAGGCTGCCTCTCTCCTTTCCCAGAAGAAATATTTCCGTGCGATCCGCCGGCTATCACATCCCACGGCGGCTCCCCGATCCAGCGCGGCTGTCCCCAGGGCTGTCCCCAAGGCTGCGGGATGGCAAGGTCACGGCTGCCGGCGGCAGGGCGGGGGCGCGGCGGGGAAGGAGGGGGGCGCCCGGGACCGGCCCGGGCGGGAGCCCCGGCGGAGCCGCGGGTGCCGGGCGAGGCTCGGCCATGCACTGCGGAGCGCGGCCGCGGCCGCTCCGCTTATAGCGGGTGTGGAGCGGCGGCGGGGCCGCGCAGCGCCGGCACCGCCCCGCCCCGCCCCGCCCCGCCCCGCCCCGGCGGCACCGCCCGCGGCCGCGACCGGGCCGGGGGCCGGGGTACTGCGGGGGCGGCGGCTGCCGGGACACGGACCGGGACACGGACCGGGACACGGACCGGGACACGGACCGGGACATGGAGCCGAGCGCGGACCCGGGGTCGCACTGCCTGTCCTGCCTGCAGTCTTGCCCGCTGCCCTGCCCAATGTCCTGCCCGCAGTCCGGCCCACTGCCGTGTTTTGCCTTGCTCTGCCGTGCCCTGCCCGCTACCCTGCCTGCAATCCTGCCTGCTGCCCTGCTTGCTGCCCTACCTGCAGTCCTGCCCACTGCCATGCTCTGCCATGCCCTGCCTGATGCCCTGCCTGCTGCCTTGCCCTTCCTGCAGTCCTGCCCACTGCCCTGCCCGCAGTCCTGCCTGCAGTTCTGCCCGCTGCCCTGCCCTGCCCTGCTCTGTCCGGCCCACAGTCCAGCCCTGCCTGCTTCCCTGCCCTTCCAGTTGCCCTGTTTTCAATCCTGCCATCAGCGCTGCCTGTAGTTCTGCCTGTGCCTCTGCCTGCAGCTCTTAAGCCCCTTGGCTGGTCCCTCCATGTCACAGGGCTCCCACCCAGCCCTGGGTGACACCTGCTGCCGGCTCCACACTGCTCACTCTCCCTCTTGGCCCTGCAGTGCCTCAGCATCCAAGAAATTCCGTTCCAGGATAGAGGCGGGGGGAGGCGGAGGGATACAGTTTATGAAGAAAACCGAATTTCCTCTAGTGCAAGGGTTCCCTCCCGCAGCTGTCCAGGCTGGCACTCGTGGCTCTCCTGGCAGCCTGAGTGTCTGTCCCACGCCAGGACCAGAGAGGGAGCTGTGGGTGTCTGCATGGCTGCAGGATGGAGAGGGGGCTTTCCTCTCGATATCAGCAAGCAGCCTTCTCTGCTGGCATCAGGATTCCTGGAAGGGCTTCAAAGCCCTCAGCTCCTTGTTTTGTCGGTGAGACGGCTCTCTATCAGTATAAAGCCGTACCCAGGCTGCTCCCCAGGCGCCTGCGGAGATGGGGCTGTGCCCGCCTGCCTGTGGAGCCCCCGAGAAGCTGTGCTGTGATTCCAAGATGTGAGCTAATGAAAGAGGTTTTTCATGCAGCATGACAGGCGCCGCATCTCTCCCGCTCCTGGGGCTGGAATGCCGCTCAGAGAGGGCCTTTTGCTTTCCCTTTCTCTTGCTGTTTTATTTGCGGCAGCAGATGTTCGCGGTGACGTGACAAGACAGGTAGCTGGTCGTGTGAGCTACGCCTGTGCTGCCAGTGATACAGCCTGCTCTCTGCAAGCCCTGCTGCCTGTCCCCTTTGGCTGTCCCCTCCCCAGCGGTGTCAGGTGGCTGAGAAGAGCAGGACTAACAGTGGGGGTGGGAGCCTGGAAGTTCCTGTAGGGCTGGGGGGAACAGAGCTGCTGATACAAGAAAGGTGGAGCATGTAGAGACAGGACAAGGGGGAATGGCTTCAAACTGAAAGAGTAGTTTTAGATTAGATATTGGGAAGAAATTCTTCCCTGTGAGGGTGGTGAGGCACTGGCACAGGTTGCCCAGAGAAGCTGTGGCTGCCCCATCCCTGTGAGTGTGCAAGACCGGGTTGGATGGGGCTTGGACCAGCCTTGGATAGTGAAAGATGTCCTTGCCCATGGCAGAGGGGTTGGAATGAGATGATCTGTAAGTCCCTTCGAACCCATGCCAGTCTATAATTCTATGATGATTCTATGATACAGTCCAGTGGGATGGCTTGAGCTGTCCCACAGTGCTGATTTGGAGCCCTTTGTGCAGTTTCCCTGTGCCTGAGGACTGTCCAGGTGTCCCCTTCTCAAGGGGAGAGCTCAGGACCCCCTGCTCATGTGTCTCGTATCAATAACGCCCATTCGAGGAGTCAATAAAGCAGACACAATGTGAGCTGGTCCCCACGGTTCAGCAAACTAATTGAGCTTCTTCCACTGACCTGGTTTCCAAATCTTGTTAACTTGCTGCCTTCAGAACAACTTGAAATTTCAAGCACAGACAGGCTGGGATTGCTCAGGGGGCAGTGCAGAACCTCTTCTCCTTTGTCCCCTCCCAGCTGGGTGGTCCCGGCTCTGCAGAGCTGCACCGTGGGGAAGGGGGAGTGGGCACTGCCAACGAGGCCAGTGGGCAGGGTCTCAGGTGCTCCCCATGGTGGGATCTTTGAGTTTTGGTACTGGTGAGATGGCAACAAGGAGCTCTAATCCTCATCACCTCCCCACCTCAGCCAGCAGCTCCTGAGAAGGGAGTTGGCCCTGTCCATGCTGTGGGGCAATGGCCGGAGCCCCTCACCACCAGCACTGTCCCAGGGTGTTTTGGAAATCCCATTTCCTTTTCTTTGTTTGAGGAAACTGGCTGCAAAAGCTGCCATAAAAGGATGTTAGGGATGCCTGAGACAAGAATTCAGAAGCGAGGAAATGTCAGGATGTTAACGCAGCCTCCTTTCATCCCTTTGTGTCTGTGCACTGCAACACACTTTTTCACAGCAATTATTAGATGCGTATTTTTCCCACAAAGCGCCTGCTTCATTCAGCACCTGGCACGTCCCACAGAGCTCAGGCTGGGAAGAGGAAGGTGCTGCCTGCAGGACCCCACATCATTCAGTGAAAACAGATACAGTAGTGATGAGGGTAAGAGGACAGAAGGAAAAAAAGTGCTAATTTCATTTCATTTTGCTGATGGCTTCCCTGGGCACTGGGTTTCTTATCCCTGCCTCTGTGCTCTTGTGAGATACTGAGTCACCTGAACCAAACCTTTCCCCCCCGGGGGGGGGGAACTCTGTTCCTTCTTTCCCTGATGCCTGACTGGAACACCAGCTGGCTGATTGCTGGAAGAGGTGGAAGTATCTGACTGCATGTGGGATCACCAGGAGTTGGGCTCCAAATGTATCTTTTGCTACACCAGCAGCAGGAATTCTGAGAAATCAGACTCACCGCCTGTCCCGCTGGAGGCTTGGGAAGCCACCGGCTGTGTGTTCCCATGTGAGGCTGTGCTCAGCCACTGTCCCTGTGAAGGGATGTTGGTCCCCAGGGCTGGAGGGTAGCCCCCATCCTGCCCCCTCAGAGCAAGGTGTCTGAAGAAAACCCCCAGGGAAGGGGCTCTCTCCTCACTCCTGTGTGACTTGGGGACCAGGTGAGGAATGGTGAGGCTACAAGGGAAATATCGGATAGCAGGTCCCAAGGCCAGGAGAGACAGGGTTAGGAGAGGTTAGAGTGTTAAAAAATCACATAAGATCCCTGTCCTCAAGGTGCACGGGGGGATGGTCCATCAGCAGCCTTAGCTCTGGCTTTTCTGGTTCATTTGAAGCCATAGCATCCCTTCCAGCACACCCGGGTACAGACACACTCACATACATGTTTGCAAACATGCAGTCACATAGACCAGCTTTCAGAGGTCTACCTGTAGGAGCCCCAGGCTTTCCACCCACTTTCTTTCCCCTTCAACTGGAAGTCATTTTGGTGCACAAGCTTTGCTGCTGGGCACTGAAAATCACTGGAGGAGTGGAATGCCTTGGCCAGAGATCCCAGCTGCAGCCCTTGCCCCGGGGTGCTGTAGCACAAATGTGTCTGTCTGTCCCTGAAGGACCAGCTGGCCAAACGCATCCCTGCCAGCCTGAGCCCCCAGCAGACCTCCTGCATGTGCACTGGCAGCAAAAGGCTCTCCTTTCTCAGCAAGAAGATTTCAGTCCAAACAACAGCAGTGAGACGCCCGTGGGGACCCCGGAGCGGCACAGCCCAACGCCTCGCACGAAGCAGTGGGCAGGCTGCAGAGAAGAAGGACTCTGACTCATCACAAGCTGGTGACATTTTCCAAAAACAGCCTTTAAGTCCAGGGCTGTAATGTTCCCAGAAGGCAGCAGAGAAGCCTAAGGGGTCTGGAGACCCCATTATAGCACAGCATAATGGGTATGGTCTGTGTCAAGGGATGGAGGCAATTCTGCCTCGCTGGGCAGTTCCCCATCCATATTTCTCTTCTCTCCTGCATCCCCCATGAGGTGAGATCTGGCAGAGGTAAAGTCAGGAGTGGTCAGATGCTGCTGCCCAGTGCCCCAGTGCAAAGCCAGTCTCACTCTTCTGGTGATGACAGAATTACTTTCCACATGATGGAGATGAGCATTTTACTTTGTGAGTCCCTGGACCACATAGTAACTGGGACCAAGAGGCAGTGAACTAGGCAGTGAGTGTTTTAAGAGGGGACCCTGATGCCTCATCCAATATAGGACTCCACTCCTCCTTCTCAGTCACAACAACCACCAAGTCATTTGCCAGTAGTTTGGCTTTCTTCCAGTTTACAAAGCAGCAAAACAGCCCTTCCCAGCAATTCCCTGCTTCGGCAGGAGGAGACACAGACTGGCAGAGGCAGATGTTCCCCAGGCTGCCTGCATTAAAGTGATAATCAAATGATAGATTATTTTCAAGCAAACTCACATTTTCAGTCATTAATTTTAGTGCTGTGCAAATAGTTTCAGCAAAAAAAATAAATACCCAGACAGTGGAGAATGGTTGGGATCTGGATCTGGTCCAGGCAACGCTGATGCACCACAGCCCATCTGTAACCTGTAGCAATCCTGCAAAGCCAGGAAGGGATGGCCACATCCTTTGGCTACATCTTCCTGCACATGAGGGCCTACAGGCCCTCTGGCATTATCCATCTTATCATCACAAAGGCTGCATCTCTAGGTCAAATGCAACAAATTTCCCAAACCAACAACAGATGAGTGAAAACAAGTGCTGAAGAAGCTCTAGAGTGACTCGTCCTGCATGTTAGGAGTGTTCTCCTCCCCTCCTGGAAATCAGGACAGAAGGAGAGGGGAGGTGCTGCATGACCTAGACTAACGGAGTGATGGCAAAGGCCTAAGGGCATTGAAAGTTGGTGTCTGTCC